CTTTCTGTGCTTTGGGGATCAAGGTGATGCTTGCTTCCAGGAATGAATTTGGGAGTATTGCTTCCCTTTCAGTTTCTTTGAAGAGTTTAAACAGTAGTGGCAGGAGTTCCTCTCTAAATGTCTTGTAGAACTTATCAATGAATCCATCAGGATGCAGGCTCTTCTCAGTTGGTAAGTTTTTAATTACATTTTCAATTTCATTGATTGATATTTGTTTGGTTAGAATTTTTAGGTCTTCTTCATTCAACTTTGGTAATTGGTAGTATCTAGGAATCTGTCCATTTCTTCTGTGTTTTCCATCTTATTGGCATATAGGTTCTTGAAATAGGTATAGATGATCCTCTGGATTTCTTCTGGGTCCATTGTAATTTCATCCTTTTCATTCCTAATTGCATGGATTTGGGCCTTTTCTTTCCTTTTTCTGATAAGATTGGCTAAGGGTTTGTCAATTTTGTTTATTCTTTCAAAGAACCAACTCTTGGCTTCATTGATTTTTTATATCATTCTCTTAGTCTCCATTGCATTGATTTCTGCTGTGATCTTTATAATTTCCCTCCCTTGTGTGAGCTTTGGGTTTGTCCTACTCTTCTTTTTCTAGAAGCTTGAAGTGCAGCATAAAGTTGTTTAATTGGGCTCACTCTATTTTCCTAATATGAGTATTCACTACTGTGAATTTCCCTCATAAGACTGCTTTCACTGTGTCACATAGATTCTGAGATGTTGTATTGTTATTGTCATTTAATTGAAGGAACTGTCTGATTTCTTCTTTAATTTCACCTGTGACCCATTGGTTATTTAGAAGTGTGTTGTTCAATTTCTATGTGTTTATGAAATTCTTGCAGTTTCTTTTATTATTGATCTCCAATTTCATTGCACTATGGTCTAATAATATACAGGGGATAACTTCAATTCCTTTGCCTTTACTTAAACATGTTTGATGAGTGAGTATGTGGTCTATTTTGGAGAATGACCCATGCGCTGCTGAAAAGAATGTGTATTCTGACTTTGTGGGGTGAAACACTCTGTAAACATCTCTTAAGTTCACTTCTTCAAGAGTTTGATTGAGTTCGAGTATTTTGTTGCTTAATTTTTGTCTAGTTGATCTATCTATTTGTGACAGTAGGGTATTGAGATTTCCCCACTATTTTATTAGGGTTTATTTGATTTTTTCATGTCTGTTAATATTTGTTTTTTATAGTTGGGTACATTAGTGTTTGGTGCATATATGTTTATTATTGTCATCTCTTCATCTTGGATTGTTCCATTTACAAGGATGTAGTGTCCTTACTTTGTCTCTCTTAATCAGTGTTGGTTTGAAATCCACTTGATCTGCAAAGAGGATAGCTACTCCTACTTTTTGGGGGGTTCCTTTCACATTAAGTAATGTTTTCTACCCTTTCACTTTCAGTCTATGATTTTCTTTTTTAACTAATTGTGTTTCTTGTATGCAGCATGTTGTTGGATCTTGCTTCTTGACCCATTCTGCCAGTCTATTTCTTTTGATTGGTGAGTTGAGACTACTAACATTGATGGTTATAACTGATACATATTGACTTATCATTGTCATAACTTTCTCTATTTGTTGGATTCTCCCACTTTGTGTTTAATTTCTTGTCATGCCTGATGGATTAATTCTGCTGAGCTTCTTGGGGTTGTGATCCTCATTGTCTTTTCCTTGGATATTATCTAAAATTTTTTGGAGTGCTGGTTTGGTATTCATGAAGTTCCTAAGGTGCTCTTTGTCATGAAAGTATCTTAT